ATAAGCCAGCCTGAAGAGTCACACAATGGAATGCATTCAGCAGTGACTCACCGAGGCATGCACCGGAAAGGTAGATCTCGAAACATGATGCTGAGTGTAAGAACTTAAGATTAAGTGGCCATAAGCTGTGCGGCTTTATTTCTATAAAGTTAAGGAACAAGTAAAACTAGTTTCTTATATTAAAAGATCAGAAGAGTATTTGCCTGGAAAGGAGAGCCACTGCTAGGAAGTTGTAAAACAAAATTTCTGGGTGAGATGGAAATGTGGTCGGGACGGCAAAGGGTTTTTTGTTATTTACATTTTTCAAAGATTTTTAATGGTATATTTAAGATCTGTGCATTTCAGGGGGCTGGAGAGATAGAGCAGTGACCTTGCATGTAGCGACTTGGGTTCAATCCCCCGCACCATCCCCCAAGGCCCGCCAGTACTGATTCCTGAGCAAAGAGCCAGGAGAAAGTCATGAGCACTGCTGGGTATAGTCCCGAAACAAAGCAAAATTTAAAAAGACTTTTTTTCATTTCCATGTAAGTTTAAATTCTAAAGAAGAAAAGAATGATGCTCAGGACAAGACCCAGGAGCTCAATCTTCTCCCCATCCCCTGCTGAAATACCTAAAATCAAACAAGAATTGAGAGGCCTGGACTCACCATAGCGATGCTGTCAGACCCCACCCCAGGCTGTTTCATCCAGGTCACCCTGGAGGGGGCGGGTGAGTTTCCTCCCACCCCCTGCGCCAACAGAGCCAAGTCCTGCAGGTGAAAAGCTCTAGAACTCAACTGCCACCACACTCATGGCCACTCTCCACATGCTCAGGCTGAGCCTCACCCACGAGTGAATCTGCAGAAAACTCAAGTATGCGGGACTTGTGACTCAAAACTCCAGATTCAACAGAACTGGGACTGGGTGACCTTCCCCCATCTTCCTCTGATTCTGGCAACTTGGAAATCACACCCACAATCCACCTCTGTCTGGCACCATATAAATTCACCAATGGCCATGATCCAGAGACTCATTATAAATCTCTCGGAAGAAAGCATAAACCAACATGCCACAGCCATGCTGCCAGGCCCTGTGCCAGGCTGTTTCAGAGAGGGGTGGGTGAGGCCCCTCCCCGCCCCAGCAGCCGAAAACCTCCATAACTCAACCACTGCCATGCTCATGAGCATTCTCCACATGCTTGGGTAGTACCTCACCCATGAGTGAACCCAACATCTCATACCTCAATATTCCAAGAGTAGTACACCACATTTGATGGGGTTTAAAGTAGAAGGCAAGCAATCTTAGAGGGAAATATATTTTTACAGATATATAAATATAAATATATATATATATATAGTTTGCTGCAGGTTGACTTTAGGTTGACCTTGCGACCACTCACTATAGCACAGCGGTAGGGCGTTTGCCTTGCACGCAGCCAACATGGCCGACCCAAGTTCGATTCCTCCACCCCTCTCGGAGAGCCCGGCAAGCTACCGAGAGTATCTCGCCCGCATGGCAGGGCCTGGCAAGCTACCCATGACGTATTCGATATGCCAGACACAGTAACAACAAAGTCTCCAATGGAGACGTTACTGGGCCCGCTCGAGCAAATCGACGATCAACGGGAGGGCCTTTACCTTACCTTTACCTTTATATATATATAAGCACACAAGGCTCAACCTTTAACAACTTGATCACTTGACATCCCATTATTCATCAATTTGCTCGAGCAGGTGCCAGTAATGTCCCCATTTGTCCCTGTCGTGTGCTAGTGTAGCCCAATGGCGTCTGCTCGTTCTTTTTTTTATTTTTTTTTTGTTTTTTTTTTGGGTCACACCCGGCAATGCACAGGGTTTACTCCTGGCTCTGCACTCAGGAATTACCCATGGCGGTGCTCAGGGGACCATATGGGATGCTGGGAATCGAACCTGGGTCAGCCGCGTGCAAGGCAAATGCCCTACCTGCTGTGCTATTGCTCCAGCCCCCACCTGCTTGTTCTTTAACAACATTTTAGTAATATCTTATAGAAGGGACCTTGGGTGAAATACAACAATCTTCACCCTCTTTCCTCTAAGGATACTTTTCTGTTGCATCTTCAGCGGTTTTTCATAACAAACAATACAAAATAAATCATTTCGGTTCTGGTTTGAGCAGGGATTAGGATTTGGGATGGAAACATCCAAAATACGGTGGTGGGGAGGTATAATGGTGGTGGGACTGGTATTTGAATATTAAATGTAATCAAATATTGTGAACTACTTTATAAAAATCAAATTAAATTTTAAAAAAAGAATTGAGAGCCCTGAATTAAATCCCCAGACTTAGGGGCATTAATCTATAACAAAGAAAATATATGAAGTGGAGCAAAGAAAATCTCTTCAACAAATGGTGTTGGGAAAACTGGATAACAATTTATAAAAAAAAAAATTAAATTAGAACCAGACTTTGTACCACTGACAAATGTATACACAAAGTGGATTAAAGATCTTGAGATTAGACAGAAACCGTAACATACATTGAAGAAAACATTGACATAATGTTCCAGAAAACCGACCACAGAGGAATCTTCAATAAGATGACCACAGTGGAAAAGACAACAAAAACAAAAACAAACAAATGGGACTACATCAAATTAAAAATTTCTGCACGGCAAAAGGAACTCAAGTTCTAAGAAAATAACACTTTACTGAATGGGGGAAAACATTTGCACACAATATACCAGATAAAGGGTTAATACCCAAGCTCTATAAAGCACTCACAAAACTCAACAACAAGAAATCTGACCACCCCCATCCATAAATGTGGAAAGGACATGAACAGACACTTCCCCAAAGATACACAGATGACCAACAGGCAGATGCAAAAGTGCTCACATCAATGATGGTGAGAGAAATGCAGTATCTCAAGCTGGTGAGAATGGCACATATCAAAAGGTCTGGAAAGATCCAGTGTTGGCAGAGTTATGGCAAGAGAGAAACCCTCATCCACTGGTAGAGGAAATGTCATCTGGTTCAGCCTCTATGGAAAGCAGTGTGAAGATCTATCCAAAAAATAGCAATAGAACTGTTTAGTTCTATAGAACATGGCCCAGAGATACCATTTTTTGCCTTTATTCCCAAACACAAAAACATTCATTTGAAAGATATACGTATACCCAGTGTTCATTGCTGCACTCAGTACAATAGTTCAGGGCTTGCTCCTGGCTCTGTGTTCAGGCAGTATGTGGCATACAACATGACTAACAGGGATTGAACCTGGCTGGGGTGGTCACATGTCAGGTAAGTGCTCTACTTGTTGTACTACCTCTCTGACCTCCAGTCTGATTTATTTCATGATTATTTATATCTGTCACTGTAATGACTATTTTAACAATATTTATATAAACTAAAGGTTCTATCATCATATACAGTCAACTATGAAAGGAAAGCGAGTAAGTGATAATGCAACCTTTGCAAGAACTAATAGTTTTCCTGAAGTCTCACAAATGTGCCCTCGATGCAATTTCTTTCCTCAGAACCAATGATGTAAAGGAGCAGCCTGTGCCAGCACCAAGCCCAGAACCAGCTATCAAGCCTGCCTCTGAGGGCGGCCTCCAGCTGGGGACAGTCCTGCCTGACCCCTCTCCCCAGGCCTTGGATACCCGGCCTCAGGGTGCCCGTATGTTGTGTAGCACATTGGGGAGAGCCGGGACACGGGATTGAGGGGTTCCTACAGCCTCTTGGGTCTCAGACACAGACCCCAAGAAAAGTCACTGTCACCCATATGTGATATGCAGCGAGGCTGACGTGAGCCTCTATGACAGGCAGCCCCGGGGACCTGTGTTAGGCAACAGGAGAACAGACTCCTAGCCAGAAGCTATGGGCAGCTCCTGTCTCTTCACTCCAGAAGCTGCTTGGAGACCCCGTCGGTGGCCCAAGGCTACAGAGTCTGTAGCCAGCAGGGCTGGGCTTCAGGGAGAAGCACCTCCAGGGTTCGGAGCAGACAAAAACTGGGATCCTGAACAGCCATGATCCCAAAGGCACACAAACCAACCTCAGAACCCAGCAGCTTTTGGCAGAAATCCCTCTAGACTTATTACTAAAATATCAGAAATCCAAAAACATCGCCACCGTGATAGCAGCCACGTGACATCATATGCTCTTCATAATCGGCAATAGAAAACAAATGATGTAATGATGCCTTTTTTGGGGCAGGTCTAATTGTTCAGGAAAACTCCAAATAATAATGGTGGGTCTTTTGTTGTAATATTGAATGTGATCAAAGTAGAGAGAGAGTGTACAGTGGAAATCTGCCACACAGGCAGGGGGAGGGGTGGGAGGGGGGATATATTGCGGTTCTTGGTGGTGGGAAATGTGCACTGATGAAAGGGATGAGTATTTGATCATTGTATGACCGACCATTTGATCATTGTATGACCGACCCTACATTGTATGTAGGGCTGGAGCGACAGCACAGCGGTAGGGTGTTTGCCTTGCACGCAGCCAACGTGGCCGATGCGAGTTCGATTCCTCCGCCCCTCTCGGAGAGCCCGGCAAGCTACCGAGAGTATCTCGCCCGCCCGGCAGAGCGCGGCAAGCTCCCCGTGACGTATTCGATATGCCAGACACAGTAACAACAAAGTCTCCAATGGAGACGTTACTGGGCCCGCTCGAGCAAATCGACGAACAACGGGAGGACCGTGACAGACAGTGCCTATGACCGACCAAGACTTAAACTGGAAAGCTTTGTGGCTGTTCTCACAGTGATTCAATAAATAAAAAATTAAAAAAAAAAAAGCTGGGTGCTTCATCCCTCCAGACACTCTCTGAGGAATGACCAGTGTTTGTTTTCGGACTTTCCCTCCTCATCCTAAACATGGAAAATGCTGTCCAGTCCCAACCCAGCCCTCTGCCATCCTCGTGTGAAGTCCTGCCAACTGCTCACAAATCCGGCAAAGCCCGCGCGCTGGCTTCAGGACCCGAGTTATTACATAATGGAAACTCTCGGCGCATGAGAAAATGGTTAGGGAGAACAGATACTTACTGAAAGTTATGATTTGGGCTATGCGTTGGACCTGAAGAGATGAAAACAACAAAAAAAGACAAGTTATTAATATTTCACAACTTGGCACAAGCTCTGCCCCAACCCAACCCACAGGAAAGGAGGCCACAGTCCGGGTGCTCATTTGTGGCCAACCGTCCCTGATTCAGCTCTGCCCCTGCCCACAATTATATGCTCAGATGGGAGAAAACTGCCGCGAGGCTGAAAGAAAGTCTGTTTCTGCAGAAACTCTGGGAGCTATTTTTGGAGTCTCTGCTCTTTTATCTCTCCCTAACCTTGTGACACAAGACAGATTTGACCTTGCGACACAAAGGTCAGGGGCTTGTAGAACAGGACCCGGGTGTGCCAGGGATGGCTCACAGTGGAAGGAGAAGGGACACATTCCCTCCAGCACGGAGCCCCATCACCACCCAGGACAGCACTAAAGCCCAGCTCGCTCACGGTGCCCGACTTTCCTCCGGCTGGGTCCGGGTCTGTGCCGGGAGCAGCCCACAGCCGCTGCAACTACCAGCCTGACCATGGAAGCCCCTCTGGAAGAGGCCTGCTGCCCCCCCCCGTCAGGCTCACCTCGGCTCGGGGACAACGTCTTTTCTTTCATTGCTAGTTAATGGGCCAGTGGCTTACACTGACCGCCCCCCCCCCATGGTGCAGGGGGCTGGGTATGGGGACTGACTCCCCCTTGCCTCTGCGGGTTGTTTCACATGAGTGTTCCATGGGTCGCCCCGGCCTCTGCAGGGAGCCCAGACTCACCAAGCCGCACAAACAGGACGCCGGTGGCCGTGATGGTCTTGACCCCGTTGGTGGCCACGCACTGGTAGTAGCCGGTGTCGGTGGTGTCCAGGTCCTGGATGCGCAGCCGCGAGCCGTAGTCCGTCTTGCGGATGACGACACGCCGTGGCTCCTGTACCACAGGGGCGTCGTTCTTCAGCCAGCGCACACTGGGCGGCGGGTTGCCGGCCACCTTGCAGTGCAGGATGGCCGTCTGGCCCTGGACGATGGTGATGTTGTTCACCGGCTCCAGGAAAGTCAGGAAGTAACCTGCAAGGGAGAGGACAGTGGAGGCCCTTCAGCAGAGTGGAGGCAAGGAGAAGGGTCTCTGCAGGGTCCCCGTGTTCTCAGCCACTGACAGTCCCTTCCCGTTACTGGAAATAACCGGTACCAGCAGGTCACCAGCACTGACCAGCTGACAGTGAGACACAGAGAGGCTGAGAGCATTCTGTGGATGGTCTCCTCACCAGGATGGATGGGCCCGAGTCTGTGTCTGAGGGGGGCTGCCTTCCTGACTTCTGTGTGCAGCCCATTAGCGTCTTGCTCAGGCCAGCTGGGAGGGGCTTCCCTACACACACCCCCCACAAGGCCAGCGCATGACCCTCTCAGCTGAGCATCACTCAGCAGCATGTCTGGGATGTTTCCAAACAAGGAAATCACCATCAGAAAGCACAGGTGTCTGAGACTCTTGGAAATAAAACTTCTGTATTGTCTGGGCTGAAACTGGAAGGCAGAGTGTCCCCTCAGCCCAAGCTGTGCAAACAGGGCGAGTGGCAATGCCCAATGGTCCGGAAAGGTCTAGGAACGGCCATATCAGCATCCCAAGGGTTGGGCTTAGGGTTTCTGACAAGCACACCCTGGGCAGTGAGTAACCGCTCAGTCGTGGAACTCACAAACACTCCAGTGCTCCATGCAAGCATGAGACCTGCCCACTTGTCCCTGCAAGGAAAGGCCAAACTCTATTCTTTGGATGCCACACAGAGCCACAGCAGGGAAAGCAGGAAAGGACACATGACAGGGGGTGTGGCGGTGGCTTCCATGCCAGAGCACAGGCCCAGGATGCAGGAGGCCCTGGTTTGGAGCCCTGGAACTGTGTAATCCTTGGAGCACCCCCAGGCATAGCCCAGGTGGCCCCTGAGCACTGCTGGGCCAGAGCCCGACTGGTCAGGTCCACAGCACAGTCAGGCGAGGCACTGCCTTGCAGGTGGGGCCCTTCCCGGCAAAGGCAGAAACTCTCAGCTGTGACACAGGAATGAAAGGATGACACACATGGCAGCAGTGTGTGTGCGAGTATGTTTGAGTATGCATCGGTATTCTGTGTGCTATGCATTAGCATGCACATGTGTGTGCAGGTGGTGTTTATGTGTGTGAGTGTGCATGTGTGATATGTGTGCTGTGCACGTTTTAGCACAGGCAGCTGTGTGTCTGAGTGAGAATACAGGTCAAAGTTGGTGTTTCTCTGAAGTTAAACACACACACTAAGAATATGTAACAGGAGAAAAACTAAGGCTAAACAGAACTCCATCAACCATCAAGAGATGAACTAAAGTACCCGGTGAAACTAAAATCATAAAGCTGAAAGTGACTATAGAATTCGTCGTGTTCTGGAAGTGTTATGACCGATGCCATCACGAGGATTGATAGTATGCTCTCAAAGCAGTCCTGCAGGATGGGAATGACCCCTGAAGCTGGGCCTGGCGGGTAGCTGAGGGGCAGTGCTGGGCTTTTCTCCCTCACCTCTTCCTCTAATGCGGGGCCTCACACAGGCACGGAATGCACCCCATGCTCGCACCCTGGCTCAGGCAGAAGGATTTCAACATAAAGGAGCAATTTTCATTCACAAGGGAGAGTGTGGGGTCACACTGCCCAGAGAGGCTCCTCTCCCCGTAGACTGTTCTTCGAGATGATTAACCACGCAGTCAGGCTCTACCATGTTTCTTTCTGAGCCACACTAGATGAAGTTGCCAGAGGGCACCCCTCCAGGTAGCATGTCCACTGTGGAGGACAGCATGGGAAGGAGGGGCCAGCAGGGCAGGGGAGTGTTGGGAGAGGGGCTGGCAGGGCAGGGAGAGTTGGGAGAAGGGCATCAGAGCAGCGGAGAGTCGGAGAGGGGCAGCAGAGAAGGAGAGAGGTGGAGGGTGGCGGAGCAGGGGGGAGGTGGAGAGGGACAACGGAGCAGGGGAGAGGTGGAGAGGGACAACGAAGCAGGGGAGAGTCGGGAAAGGGTGACGGAGCAGGGGAGAGGCGGAGAGGGATGGCGGAGCAGGGGAGAGGCAGAGAGGGGCAACAGAGCAGGGGAGAGGTGGAGAGGGTCCACGGAGCAGGGGAGAGTAGGAGAGGGGCGGCGGAGCAGGGGGTTGGAGAGGGGCGGCAGAGCAGGGAAGAGTTGGAGAGGGGCAGTGGAGCAGGGGAGAGGCGGAGAGGGACAACGGAGCAGGGGAGAGTCAGGGAGGGGTGACGAAGCAGGGGAGAGGAGGAGAGGGACCATGGAGCAGGGGAGAGTTGGAGAGGGGTGGCGGAGCAGGGGATCGGAGAGGGGTGGCAGAGCAGGGGAGAGGTGGAGAGGGACGACGGAGCAGGGGAAATGCGGGGAGGGGTGGTTGAGCAGGGGAGAGGCGAGAGGGACAATGGAGCAGGAGAGAGTCAGGGAGGAGCGACAGAGCAGGGGAGAGGCAGAGAGGGACGGCAGAGCAGGGGAGAGTCAGAGCGGGGCGGCGGAGCAGGGGAGAGTTGGAGAGGGGCGGTGGAGCAGGGGAGAGGCGGAGAGAGGCGGTGGAGCAGGGGAGAGGTGGAGAGGGGCGAAGGAACAGGGGAGAGTCAGGGAGGTGTGGCAGAGCAGGGGAGAGTCGGGGAGGGGCTGCAGAGCAGGGGAGCATCCCTGGCACAGCCCCTTCCTGAGAACTCCAAGCTCAGCTCTGGGTTCTGTGCTCCTGAGTCCCGCACGTGGCTGGGCTGAAGTCTGATCTGGAGTCTGAGACAGTGAATTGAGTTGTGCAGCTTCCCGACAGCCCCCACGTCACCGTCTGGGCCAGAGCCCGCCTTAACTGGGAGGCTCACACCTGGGAGTTGCCTAAAACTCAAGCACCTCAACATCTCCGTAACCTGAAATGCACAGCAGGGCACACGCTGCCGTGCCAAGCTGCTATCTGAGAGAGCCCTGACGTGTGTAAGGAACAAGCATCTCCTGGCACCGACCCACCACGACTGCCATCTCTGTTGGTGACAGGCTGTCTGCAGCAGACACGTGCGAGGGGGACTCTGTGCCACGCATGTCTCCACACTGACCAGCAGACACGTGCGAGGAGGGGTGGTCTCAGGGCCAGGACAGGTGGGCTCAGTCACCACGGTGCTGCTCGGAGGTCACCTGTCTCCACCACCTCCTCTTGATGTCTCCATGGATGGCATAAAGACAGAATTTCCTTTCCCCACACGCAAATCTGAGAGATGCCTGGATTTGGACTGTCCCATCACCAGAAACCTCCTCAGCATCAACTCCTTTACCAGGAGGCCTTTTAGGGTGCTGGGGTGATCGTACAGCAAAGGGTGTGCTTGTTTTGCATGTAGCTGACCCGGGTTTGGTTCCAGGCACCGCTGAGCCTGCCAGAAGTGATCCTTGAGCGCAGAGCCAGAAGCAAGCCCCTAATACAGCCGGGTGTGGTCTCCAAACAAACAAAAAAGATGTTTTTACGTTGTATGGCTATGGGCCACCAGCCCCCTTCCCCATCAGTAGTTTCTCCACTCAGGCCGAGAGGCAACTGCTGGGTGTCGTCGGCAGCCCTGAGCAGGCATCTGTGTGGAGCAGAGTACTGGAGGAAGAAGGAGCCTGGCACCCCTGCTTCTGTGGGAGCAGGGAGATCGGTGTTGAGCCCACCCTGTGGGAAAGATGCCCTCATGGTCAGATGGCCATCAAGCCCGTCCAGCTGGGAAGCTGTCTTCCTGGTTGGGCTTCGTTCAGAGGTGGGGCGGGTCTTTTCAGACACTGTTCCAGGAACAGCGACCAGCTCAGAGATCAGAGCCACGATCCTGGCTCTGCAGAGAAGGAGCCACCCAGAGCGGTGATCTATGGACCTCAAGACCACCTACCCCGCCAGGGATGCCCCCACGGTCTGACCTGGCACATCCTAACTGCACCCGCTATTCACTCATCTCCCCCCAACTCAGCGTCATCATCAAATTCCACCCCATTTGGTGACCATCTACATGTCAGAGACTGTCTTGGGCTTGAAGGTGAGAAGAACCACCAAGTGCTGGAATTCAGCACCTTGGGGTTGATGTGATCACGTGCGATGCTGTGCCTAAGAAATGCCCCACAGAAGTAAATCCTCAGAAAACATATTAGTGGCTGTCGGAGGCCTCGGGGGAAAGGGATTAAGGGTGTTTCTTCTGCATGATGGAAAGTGGAGGTGGTGATGACTGACAACGGTAAATACATTTGATGCTTTAACAGACTGCATGGGATGTGGATTTCATGACAACGAAATCACTAACTGATGGAGGGAAATGGGAATAAGCATTGACTAGGAAGGCACAGGGCAGAGCCCAAACCCAGGCTTGGGTAGGGGAAACCCCCTTAAGGAGCTTGGACAAGGTGAGTGCAGGTGGGAAGGGCAGGAGCAGGTGCTGAGGTCTGGAGGCCAAACCTCTCTGCCAAAACATCCACCTCAGACACCGGCCAACACTCCCAGCAACGATCCACCCTCTGGTAAGGCTTTCACTAGGTTTCTCCAAGCCCAGGGCACCCCAAATTGCTTAGCTCTCATTTTCTGGCAAGTGCTCACTTTTGAATCCACACCACCTTCGGCTGGCAGGAAACAAAAGAAAACTCTTGGAGAGGTGATGAATCTCTGCATTGAGTTTGGACCAACTCTTCATCCCTCTCCTCTGGGTTCCCCGGAGCTTGCAGAAAAGAAGACCCAGATGTCTGCCGTGTCAATGAAGTCGCAGCCAAGGCCGGCCCCAAGGCACAGTTGAGAATTCTGAGTGAGCACCTACACCTTCTCCCATGCAACCCTGCTCTAAAGGGCCAAGGAGAAAAGGTGGACGGTTCAGTGAACCTGGTCAAGTTCAGCAAGAACAGAGAGAGGACACCACAGTGAGATGCCCTGCTGGGATGGTTCCCCCAGAGTACCACACATACCAACATCCAGGAAGGGCAGGGCAGAATCCCCACGAATGATACCCAGGGATCACTCCTGACCCACCCCCGGAGTCGGTGTCCTTCACTCTCTCCTGAGAACTCTTGAGGCCAAATCACAGCGGGATAACTCGGT